CGTTGAGTGAGATCGATAGTAAGATCGATAGTGGGATTTATAGTGAGATCGATGTGATGTCCCGAGGTGTCCCGTTGAGTGAGATCGATAGTGGGATCGATAGTGCGACCGATAATGAGATCGAGAGGTGTCCCGCTGTCTCCCGCGGTGTCCCGTGGTGTCCCGTGGTGTCCGGTGGTGTCCCGTTGAGTGAGATCGATAGTGAGATCGATAATGAGATCGTCAAGGGTCCCGTGGTGTCCAGAGGTGTCCCGTGGTGTCCCGTGGTGTCCCGTGGAATGAGATTGATAGTGAGATCGATTGAGTCAGATGTTGGTTCCCCCCCCTCTCCCCCCCAACCCAACCTCCTCATCACCCCTGGGGTGGTCGTATAGGTCGTAAAAATGAGCGTAGCTGTAGAAGTACTTGTAGTGCAAGTCGTAGTCGTAGTAATAGTACTTGTAGTCGTAGAAGTAGACATAGTAGTAGTAGTAGTAGTAGTAGTCGTAGTCGTAGTCGTAGTCGTAGTAGTAGTGGTATCAGTAGTAGTAGTAGTAGTAGTAGTCGTAGTAGTAGTAGTAGTAGTAGTAGTAGTAGTAGTGGTGGTGGTGGTAGTAGTAGTAGTAGTAGTATTCGTAGTAGTAGTAATAGTAATCGTAGTGGTGGTAGTAGGAGCAGTAGTAGTAATAGTAGTAGTAGTAGTAGTAGTAGTAGTAGTAGTAGTAGTAGTAGTAGTAGTCGTAGTCGTAGTCGTAGTCGTAGTCGTAGTAGTAGTAGTAGTAGTAGTAGTAGTAGTAGTAGTAGTTGTAATAAAAATAGTGGTGGTCGTAGTCGTAGTACTAGTCGTAGTGGTAGAGGTAGTAGTGGTAGTGGTAGTCGTCGTCATAGTGGTAGTAGTAGTAGTAGTCGTAGTAGTAATCGTAGTAGCAGTAGTAATAGAAGCAGTCGTCGTCGTGGTAGTAGTAGTAGTAGTAGTGGTAGTAGTAGTCGGTGTGCTAGTAGTAGTAGTAGTAATAATAATAGTAGTAGTGGTCGTAGTAGTAGTAGTGGTAGTAGTAGTAGTAGTCGCAGTCTAGTCGTAGCCTAGTCGTAGTCGTAGTCGTAGTGGTAGTACTAGTACTCGTAGTAGTAGTAGTTGCAGTACTCGTTGTAGACGTAGTCGTCGCCGTAGTTGTAGTAGTTGGAGTCGTAGCCGCATTCGCAGTAGTGGTAGTAGTAGTAGTAGTAGTCGTAGTAGTAGCAGTAGTAGTAGCTGTCGTCGTCGTAGTAGTAGTAGTAGTAATAGTAGTCGTAGTAGTAGTAGTAGTAGTAGTAGTAGTAGTAGTAGTAGTAGTAGTAGTAGTAGTATTAGTAGTAGTACTAGTAGTAGTAGTAGTAGTAGTAGTAGTAGTGTAAGTGGTAATTGGAAGAGTAGTGGTAGTAGTACTAGTAGCAGTAGTAGTAGTAGTAGTAGTAGTTTTTGTAGTAGTAGTAGTAGTAGTCGGATTAGTAGTCGTAGTCGTAGTTGTAGTTCTAGTACTTGTATTGGCAGTCGTCGTCGTAGTAGTAGTAGTAGTAGTCGTAGTAGTAGTAGTAGTAGTAGTAGTCGTAGTAGTAGTCGTAGTAGTAGTAGTAGTAGTAGCAGTCGTAGTAGTAGTAGTAGTAGTAGTAGTAGTAGTAGTAGTCGTAGTCGTAGTTGTAGTAGTAGTAGTAGTAGTAGTAGTAGAAGAAATAGTAGTAGTAGAAGTAGTAGAAGTAGTAGTAGTAGTAGTAGTAGTAGTAGTAGTAGTAGTCGTAATGGTACTCGTAGTAGTCGTAGTAGTAGTAGAAGTAGTAGTAGCAGGAGTAGTAGTAGTAGTAGTAGTAGCAGTAGCAGTAGCAGTAGCAGTAGCAGTAGCAGTAGCAGTAGCGGTAGCGGTAGTAGTAGTACTATTATTAGTAGTAGTAGTAGTACTAGTAGTAGTAGTAGTAGTAGTAGTAGTAGTAGTAGCTGTAGTAGCTGTAGTAGTAGCAGTCGTAGTAGTAGTAGTAGTAGTAGTAGTAGTAGTGGTAGTAGTGGTAGTGGTAGTAGTAGTAGTAGTAGTAGTAGTAGTAGTAGTAGTAGTAGTAGTACTATTATCATTATTATTACGATTATTTTTATGCTTATTATTATTATTAGTAGTAGTACTAGTACTAGTACTAGTACTAGTAGTAGTAGTAGTAGTAGTAGTAGTTGTTGTTGTTGTTGTTGTAGTCGTGGTTATGTAGGATTCGGTGGTCGTATCTAGCGATTGTTATCATACGAATTTGCAATTGTTATCATACGAACTTGCAGTAGCAGTCGTAAAAGAATTTCCCAAAACAGAGCTTGCACATCTGTAGCGGATTCATATGGTTAGGTGAGGTTTGCCACCGATTTCCGCGGCTCGCCAGGGTGCCCGGGTGCGCAGCTGCCTGGGTGCCCGGGTGCCCGGGTACTTTATAGCCCTACCTATACGACCACCCTGCGGGTGATAAGGAGGTTCGGGGGGGGGGAGGAACCAACGTCTCACTCGATCGGTCTCACTATCGATCTCACTATCGATCTCACTATCGGTCTCGCTCGATCGATCTCACTCGATGGATCTCACAATCGATCTCACTCGATCTCTTTCATTCGATCGATCTCACAATCGATCTGACTATCGATCTCACTATCGATCTCACAATCGATCTCACATCTCGGTCTCACAATCGATCTCACTATCGTTATCACAATCGATCTCACAATCAACGTCATCATCATCATCACCAGCATCATCGTCACCAACTTCATCATCATCACCATCATCATCGGGGCACCATCATGATCACCTCATCACCATCATCATCAACATCATCATCAGCATCACCATTATCATCATCGGGACACCATCATCGTCACCATCATCATCATCAACATCATCATGATCGGATCACCATCATCATCATCATCATCATCGGGACACCATCATCATCATGAGCAACACCATCATCATCAACATCATCATCATTGGGACACCATCATCATCGTCACCATCATCATCATCATCATCATCCTCGGGACACCATCATCATCAACATCAGTATCATAATCATCATCATCAGGCCACCATGATCAAAATCATCATCATCATCCCCATCATCAACATCATCACCGGGGCACCATCATCGCCATCATCCTCAACATCATCATCATCATCGGGACACCATCATCATCACCATCATCATCAACAGCATCATCATCAACCTCATCATCACCATGTTCATCGGGACACCATCATCATCATCTTCATCATCATCAGCATCATCATCTCATCATCTCACCATCTCATCACCATCAACATCATCAGGATCATCAATATCATCTTCATCCTCGGGACACCATCATCATCATCAGCAACATGAGCATCATCAACATCATCATCATCATCATCATCATCATCGGGACACCATCATCATCACCACCACGGCCATCATCAACAGCATCATCATCATCATCATCATCATCATCATCATCATCATCATCATCGTCAACATCATCATCATCATCATCATCATCATCATCATCATCATCATCGGGACACCATCATCATTACCACCATCACCACTATCACCATCATCAACATCATCGACATCATCATCATCATCATCATCATCATCAAAATCATCATCATCATCATCATCATCGGAATCGGAACACCGACGGGACACCGGCGGGACACCGGCGGGACACCGCGCCCCACCGGCCCCCGGGAAGGAAACATTTGGTCCTGCCGCGCCTCAGAGGAGACTTTCTTTTCGCCCGCCCACGCAGCTTCGCCTCGCCCGCACGCACGGCACGAACGAACACAAAACCGAAACCGATTTCCCGGTAGGGGGGCTCTCCATTCCACTTCGATCTCACCCCCTCACCTTCGATAGCCCTATAGCCCTATAGCCCTGTAGCCCTATAGCCCTATAGCCCTATAGCCTTATAGTCCTATAGCCCTAAAGCCGTACAGTCCTATAGCACCATAGCCCTATAGCCCTATAACCTTATAGCCTAATCGCCTTACAGCCCATGGCCCTATGGCCCTATAGCCTTATAGCCCTATAGCCCTATCGCCCTAGAGCCCTATAGCTCTATAGCCCTATAGCCCTATAGCCCTATATCCCTATAGCCCCATAGCCCTGTAACCCATGAGCCCTATAGCCCTATATCCCTATAGCCGTATAGCCCTATAGCTCTATAATCCTATAGCCCTATATCCTTGTAGCCCTATAGCCCTATAGCCCTACAGTCCTACAACCCCATATCCCCATAGCTCTATAGCTCTATACGCCTATCGCACTATAGCCCTATATCCCCATAGCTCAATATCCCTATAGCCCTATAACCCTATAGCCCCATAGCCCTATAGACGCATAGCCCTACGACCCTATAGCCCTATAGCCTCATAGCCCCAGAGCCCCATAGCCTCATAGCCCTATAGCCCTACAGTTCTATAGTCCCATGGCCCTATAGCCCTATAGCCCTACAGTCCTATAGCCCTATGTTCCTACAGCCCTATAGTTCCAAAGCCCTATAGCCCCATCGCCCTGTAGCCCAATAGCCCCATAGCCCTGTAGCCCTAACAAGACTTTGATTAGGGTTTGTCTCCGGTATCATATGAGTATTGGTCTTGGCCTTTGTATTCGTTTTCTTCTTTGCTTTGGGTCATCGAACAGCTTGTCTGTAAGGGTCCTGCGTCGAAGAGGCCGCGCGCGGAGCAACCGTGATATTGAGTCGGCGGTGCGCCGATTCCCTCCAATTGTCTCCCGGTCTCTTCCGTTGTCTCCCGTCGCCTTGCGTGGTCTGCCGTTGTCTCCAATTGTTTTCCATTGTCTCCCGTTGTCCCTCTGCATCGCTTTATGATTTACTTTTTGGACCGAGACGTGCGCCCTAGGGCAGCACGACAGTGTATCTAAGTTGTAAGATTACGGTGTTACCAACCTGTCAGCCACCCTGCGAAGCAGGCCCCCTAAAGCCAAACATGCCATATGGATTTCCGTCCGCTGAGGTGAAGCCGAACCCGGTGGACGTCCGGCTCATGTGCGAGAGCCATTGCGATTGTCCCGCGTGGTATTGGTGCCAGAACGGCACGGACCGCGTGAGCTGCCTGGGAGACTCTGACCCTTCGATTGGGGATCGACATGGGCCTTGGATCTTAAAGTGATCCATCGGTTGATCGGGGTCTGGGCGATCGACCGGGTGGTCGACCAGCAGAGTGCGGATCATCGGACCGGATCAGGATCGAGGTGAAGCCTCCAGTCAAGTTTGACCGTGTGCCGTATCAGTGTGCGTAACTGAGGTGAGTTTCCACCCTTTCAAGACAGTGGCTTCGTACCAGAATTGCATGGCCAATGCGCTCGGGGGCCCTGAGTTGGCCGATGGCGTCGCGCAGCCCACTCCCGCGCCTGGACCGGCAGCGAAGGTGCTGGAGGCGCGCGTAGTCGCGAGTAGTTCCAGCACAGAAGCGGCCAGTTCGGCGTCGACTCCAGGCCCAGCGTCCGCTCCGGCGCAGCCCAGCTTTGACTGCGACGCTGGCTTGAGCAACTGGAAAGCAGGCTGGTCCAGCGAAAAGAAGGAGTTTTGCTGCAAGGGCCAGCAGAAGGGCTGCGACGGCGACGACTCCGGCGACGGCGAGGCCATTCCAGCGGACCAGCAGACATGCAAGGACTACGGCTGCGTCAGCGGTTTCGACCCCGAGCGTGCATGCCAGTGCAACTCAGACTGCAAGTCTCACAACAGCTGTTGCGATGACTTCGAGGCTGTCTGCGGAAACATAGTGCAGCCAGAGAAGCACAAGAGCACAGCCAAAACGTTCAGCTCGGACGAGAGCTGCGCCAGCTACGGCTGCGGCGGGGAGTACGACGAGGAGCACTGGTGCCAGTGTTCTACGGACTGCGAGGAGTACGGCAACTGCTGCGCCGACCTCATGGATGTGTGCGGGGAGATCCTTGGCATCGGCACCCCAGCGCCGGCCACCCCGGCGCCGGCGGCCCCGGCGCCAGGCACCGCCGCCTCGCCCGCGGGCGGGGACACGGCAACCACGGGCGCGGCACCTCTGCAGGCCGCGACCGTCAGCGTCGGCGCCGCGGGCGCTGCAGAGGGCGCTCCCGCCGACGCAGGTGCGGCGCAGCAGTTTGCCCCCGGCCCACGGGCGCAGACCTTCTACATGTACCGCGCGCAGAGCGAGGCCTCCTACGACCTGGAGAACATCAACACCGCGGACCTGGCGGGGGTCCTGTGGTACCTCCACAACGAGGTGATCGTGGCTCAGCCGAGGAAGTACAAGATCGACCGCATCAAGCGTTTCAAGGTCACGGTCAAGAACACTTGGGAGTTCTGGAATGCGCACAAGCGTCAGTTCGGCTCGTTTGTTGCCTATGATGCCGCCCGATGCTCGACGCCTATCTGCAAGGACATCTACAACCAGTACGGATTTATTGTGGGCTGCCAGATTCAGGACCTGTCGGTGGCTGCGTACCTGTCCCCCAACCAGACTAACTGGAACTGTGAAAAGGGCTCGGACGCATGTAACCCCCCGGTGTGGTGGTCACTCCCGGGGCCATGTCCGGCCATGGGCATGAGCAACGATAAAATAGCCGCCAATAAGGTTGATTTGGATGTGAGTTCTTTCAAGTCCGAAGAATGCATCAAGAAGATGCCCGGTGGCCGCTGCGACAAAGCGACGGGTGCCCCCGATTGCACCTACAGCTATGAGGAGGCTGGGGAGATCTTCTTGGACGAGCTCGCTGGCATCGACGACTACGACAACTTCTGGAACTACTCATACACCAAATGCTTGCAGGATGAGGCCCAGCATAAGACGAGCGAGAACGTGTCGTGCGTCCAGAACAAAGAGTACGATCCCAAGACGGATGAGGGAATTGGCACGAATTTCTGGAATGGCAAGCTTGACAAGGAGAAGTGCGTTGCGCGCATGGAGGCGGTGCGGCAGCTGTTCAAGATGCACAATCCCGAGTTCCCAGCCGACCTCGACGAACCCGCCTGCGAGTTCGACATGTTTTACGACGGCGAGTTCCAGTGGGCCGTCAACCACACTGGTGCTGAGCCTTCCCCATGGTGGGACAACAAGATGTCCGTCTCAGAAATGGGTACCACCGAGGACACAGAAGACATAAAGGACACAAAGTGACGAATGCCTCGCCCCTCTCCCGTGCAGCCCGTGCGGCCTCTTGCCCCTCTCCGCCTGTTCACCCATTCTCTCCTCAGAGGTGGATAGACCTCCTACCCTGACACGTCGATTAAGGAATTGGCCGTTTTCGGTTCGCGAGAGGGCGTCGCGGCCGTCATTTTTGCGGGTCCAGGTTCGTCGGTTTCGGTCCCAGGCCGTTTTCACTAAGGGGAGGTTTACTAAAGGGAGGTTTGTCCACCGCCGATCTCCGCCTCATCCTAATTCGGCAGGCTACTGTGAGCCGAAATGTCAGCCCTGACGATCAAGCTTGGCGTGGCGCCCGATGCTCCTCTTCGCTGCTCCGCCGGCACCCCGCGTGGGTCCCCCGCCGGCGCTGGTGCACAATGGCTGCTGCTTGCAGCGGGGGAGGGGCAGGGGAGACGACGGGCAGCCCATCAGGTGTTCCCAGCGCCATAATGATGGGCGCTTTCGACACAGACGAAACGCATGTGCAGGTTGAGCTAAATCCGAGTTCTTCAAGTAGAGGCCAGGCAGGTTCGAGGCAAGCTTCAAGCGAATACGTAGTTATCAAGACTCGCAATGTGGCAGGCGTTCTGGCATTGGCAATGGCGGAATCGCCTGCCGCCATGGAGTCCAACGCGTCCGCTGTTAGCATTTCCACTTGTGTGTGAGCCATGCTTTGCACGTAGGCCCCTGCGATGTGGGCGGAAGGCCCGATTCGCCAGCTATCCGCCCCTTCCTGTCGAATGCTCCTCCCCTTCCTCCTTTCCATTGTCCTCCTCGAATGCTCCTCCCCTTCCTCCTTTCCCTCGTCCTCCCTCTGCTCCCCCACTCCTGCTCCTCCTTCACGCCCTTCTTCTCTCTTCGATCTTCGCTCGTCCTCCCTCCTCCCTTCCCTCCCGTCCTCGTGTTCGAGCGCACCGATTGCAACGCCGCCGCCCAACGAGCAACCCACGAGCCATCTGGTCTTTCCCGCGGGACACAGGACAGTTGTGAGCTCTCTTCAGCAGCTCGCCCATGCATCGCCGATGCGTCGCCGATGCGGCGCGACCCTCCGGCCCCATCGGCTCGGACCCTATCGGGGAGGCCTTCGGGCTCTGGTGTCAGCGGAGCAGGGGCTGTTCGAACCTGCTCCCGTAAGCTTACGCGGCCACGGCGGGCTGCAGGTGCATCCGGCGAGTGGTGCTCGGGCAGGTCGGGTGAAGAGGGGCCGAGACGCAGCCAGGAGGCGCCAGGGTTTTGCCGCGCAGTGCGCCGACCTGCTGCCCAACTGGGTTCACGCCGCCTAGAGGATGGCTGCAACCGAACCAGCTTGTAGCGCTCTGTTGCACGCAACGGGGTACGCGTCACAGAGCTTCCATTCAGCAGCCTACAGCCTGCCCTGCCGCCATGCCAGCGAAGCATCGAAACGCATGCTCGGTGGTGCCGTCTTGGGTTCGCGTGGGAAGCCGCGCTACGGTGCCGTAGCTTGGTGTGGCTGTAACTTTGCATGCTTGTTGGGTTGCCTCGTGTCAGATTCCTGTAGGCTTCCTGCGGGCGTAGCCTGTGTTTTTTCCCAACCCTCCTGCGTTGGGTTCTCGATTTGAATAGAGCACTGCTCGCGCCTTCCTTCCCGCCCCCCCCCGTCCCTCTCTTCCCCCCTGCCTTCGCTCGTCGCTGCGTGCCAGCTGGGGGGCTGCGATCTGTGACACTGTCGCCACTTTCGAGGCCTGCTGGGGGGCCCAGCACAGTGGGTACCCACCGCGGCTGGGGGCTGCGATCTGTGAAATTGTCGCCACTTTCGAGGGCTGCTGGGGGGCCCAGCACAGTGTGCACTCGCGGCGGATTCAAATGGGACCTCGCCATCCCTGGGGGGCTGCGATCTGTGAAACTGTCGCCACTTTCGAGGGCTGCTGGGGGGCCCAGCACAGTGGGCCCGCGGCGGATTCAAATGGGACCTCGCCATCCCTGGGGGGCTGCGATCTGTGAAACTGTCGCCACTTTCGAGGCCTGCTGGGGGGCCCAGCACAGTGTGCCGCGGCGGATTCAAATGGGACCTCGCCATCCCTGGGGGGCTGCGATCTGTGAAACTGTCGCCACTTTCGAGGGCTGCTGGGGGGCCCAGCACAGTGGGCACCCGCGGCGGATTCAAATGGGACCTCGCCATCCCTGGGGGGCTGCGATCTGTGAAACTGTCGCCACTTTCGAGGCCTGCTGGGGGGCCCAGCACAGTGGGCACCCGCGGAAATGGACCTCGCCATCCCTGGGGGGCTGCGATCTGTGAAACTGTCGCCACTTTCGAGGGCTGCTGGGGGGCCCAGCACAGTGGGTACCCACGGCGGATCAAATGGGACCTCGCCATCCCTGGGGGGCTGCGATCTGTGAAACTGTCGCCACTTTCGAGGGCTGCTGGGGGGCCCAGCACAGTGGGTACCCATGGCGGATTCAAATGGGACCTCGCCGTCCCTGGGGGGCTGCGATCTGTGAAACTGTCGCCCCTTTCGAGGCCTGCTGGGGGGCCCAGCAAAGTGGGCACCCACGGCGGATTCAAATGGGACCTCGCCATCCCTGGGGGGCTGCGATCTGTGAAATTGTCGCCACTTTCGAGGGCTGCTGGGGGGCCCAGCACAGTGGGTACCCACGGCGGATTCAAATGGGACCTCGCCATCCCTGGGGGGCTGCGATCTGCTTGCTGGGGGGCCCAGCACAGTGGGCTTCCCGCACGTCGTTCTCCTGCTCTTCGTTCCCGACTCCCCATGTCCTCTTCGAGCCTGTAGTTGTCGCCCCTCGTTCTTGTATGGTTTTCCTGCGCATCATTCCATTGGCGCGTGTCCCAAGTAGCTTACATATCAAACAACGGATCCTGCAATTTGATTGTCCGTGCAAGTTTCCCATGATACATATGGGTTGGGTACGTCACAGGGTAATTTCCCAACCATCCTATGGTGTTGGGTCCTCGTTTTGAAGAAACGGTCCCCGCGTTCACTCCTCCTCCTCCTCCTCCTCCCGCTGCCCCTCCCCCTCCTCTCATCATCATCATCATCACCATCATCATCATCATCATCATCATCATCATCATCATCATCATCATCACCATACTCACCATCACCACCATCATCATCATCACCATCAGCATCACCATCATCATCATCATCATCATCATCATCAGTGTCATCATTACCACCATCATCATCATACCCATTATCATCACCGAGGTCATCATCATCATCAGCAGCAGCATCATCAGAATCATCATCAGACTCAGCATCTTTATCATCATCATCACCATCAGCATCAACATCATCAGCGGCAGCATCATCATCATCATCATCATCGTCATCACCATCATCATCACCATACTCACCGTCACCACCATCATCTTCATCAACATCATCATTATCATCATCATAATCATCATTGTCATCACTACCACCACCATCATCATCATCACCATACCCATTATCATCATCATCACCATACTCACCATCATCACCATCATCATCACCATCCATCATCATCATACCCATCATCATCATCATCATCATCATCATCATCATCATCATCACCATACTCACCATCACCACCATCATCATCACCATCATCATCATTGTCATCATTACCACCACCATCACCATCATCATACCCATTATCATCACCATCGTCATCATTATCATCAGCAGCAGCATCATCATCATAATCATCATCATTCCCAGCATCTTCATCATCATCATCACCATCAGCATCATCATCATCAGCGGCAGCATCATCATCATCGTCATCACCATCATCATCACCATACTCACCGTCACCACCATCATCTTCATCACCATCATCATTATCATCATCATCATCATTGTCATCACTACCACCACCATCATCATCATCACCATACCCATTATCATCATCATCACCATACTCACCATCATCACCATCATCATCACCATCATCATCGTCATTGTCATCATTACCACCACCATCACCATCATCATCATACCCATCATCATCATCATCATCATCATCACCATACTCACCATCACCACCATCATCATCACCATCATCATCATCATTGTCATCATTACCACCACCATCACCATCATCATACCCATTATCATCACCATCGTAGTTGTGTCCTTCGCCAGGCTAATTCTCTCTCTTTTTTCTTTTATTTGTATAATAATGCTGCGAGCCTCACGAATGCCGCTCGCAGAAGTATATGCGCCCATGTCACGTCAACACCTCCGTATAACGTCTCCCAAGCTACTCATGCCCCACATTACGCAGGGGTTGGGTACGTCGCCAGGGTAACTTGTATAATAGCATTGATAAGACTAAGGGGGGGCCATCTTTCAGGGGAAAAGGCTCGAAATGTTGGGCCGCATTCCCACTCTCGGGATTCCGTCGGGGGTCTCCCTGGAGCCGGTGTCGGGGCCCCTCGGGCCGCCCCCTAAGGAAGGTCTCGGGGCTTTCTCTCGGGGGCGTCCTGGGCTGTTCTGGGCGCCGTAAGGACGAAGGAGGCGAGGAAGGCTACTCCAGATGTCGTAATAAAAGGGAGGGGGTCTGGACCCTCCAAGACAAGCCATTTCAGACCTCCCCCGTGGGAGAACCCTCCAAAACATCGTCCCCAGCCCCCCCAGGCCCTCCAAGATAGCCTGGAGGAGACCCCCCCCGAAATGAGACCCCTCTCCCTTTATTACGAAATCTGGAGTAAGATGTGCGATCTCTCGAAGGAGCGGGCCGTTCTTCGATTTGGGGCTTCGTGGGGCGTCTCGACGCTCTGACGGATCTTGCTGGCGCTCTGTTGGGGCTCTCTTGGGCCGTCCTGGGGCTCTCAGGGCCGTCGTGGGGGCCACAAGAGTGGCCAGACACCCCCCCCCCCCGCCAGATGAGTTCCCGCGGGGGTCGTGCCGGGCCGGGGGTGGGTCAAATTCCCGGTTTGGGGTCCCCTGGGGGGAGATAATGGAGGATAAGAATCTCACACGCCTGTAGACCCACAAGTGGTTGGTGGATTTTCCTCTGTTAGT